TTTTTTTGGTCTTGCGAAACTTCCTGAGAAAAAGAAAAAAAGAAAAAAAAAAACTGGAGTTAGTGTTGTAATCAATATACATAAGATTCAGAAAGGCCCCAACTCACAATCTTAGGCTGAAGTAAAAACTTGGATTAGCCTACACGGTTCCACATAAAATTTGACAATCCATCATCCCCTCATTGTATAAATAATAATTTCCTTAAACAAATGAGAAACATCAAGAAGTTCAAGCCTTGAAGATGATTTTAGTGACTATCTTCCTTCACTAAATAGTAAACCTTTGTCAAAGCAGTAGCTGGTCATATACCTAGGTGCCGGCAGAAATTGAGCAGATTGATTAATTCCTGACTCTAAATTTGGAAACCACCTTCAATATTCAGTTTTAAACTTTAAAATAAACAAAGTATAGTATAATGTATTAATAGATAAAACTGCCACTATGCATATGCTCATAATCATTTACACGATGTACCATTATTAGAGACTACAATGTTTTCGTACATAACTGAATAAATGGACAGCTAAAACTTTTCTTAATCACAGAGATTAACTTCAAACAGGGACAGCAGATATAATTTGGAGATGTTGCATGTCTCATATTCCATGGTCTCTTCTGACACTTGGAAGAGAAAATAGACTGAATATATAGGAACATTAGTTTTGAAATTTAAGGGAGTGACAACAATAGTGTCAAGGACACATACTTTTTCTGCATGGTTGTGTTCAGCATCTGAAAAAAAAAGAAGATCCTCCATTCATGCATACAAGTTTCAATAATTTTTATCAAAAAGAGAAAAAAAAATTACATGTATGGCACGTAGACACTATAATAACAGAAGAAAGGCACCATATCTTTAGACATGATGTCAAATATAAATAAATAACAGGCTTGGCTTCAGCATGACAATCAAATATGACAAATTGGACAAATTAAGGGAAAAAAGGAAAAATAAAAGGAAAAATACTAAATATATGTTTCCCAAGTTGTATTTTTGTAATTAGAATATAAGCTTATTTGCGAACCTGTATGTCTAATAGTATCCTCTACATGTATATTAAATTTCAAGTAGGAATAGCAATCATTGGTGTGTTTTTCCAAATTCCTTCATGATGTGCACCGTGGACATCGTTCGCTTCATCTTCTTCATTTATTATGGCCAACTTTGGTGATAATGAAGGAAATTCATACATATCTAGAGTTGGCTCATCAGTATCATCGCGTTTACCTTGGAATACCACCAACCAATGTTGGTTATTTGAATCAGATAAATAAAAGACTTGTTTTGCTTGACATGCCATGACAAATGGTTCACTTTTGCATCCTTCTCTCCTGAAATCACCTAATACAAATCTCAACTCATCTACCCTCACGTCATTATTACCATCAACCTATTTACATTTGAAACAGGCATGGTAAACTTAATGTAATCAAGTTTCCACATCTCTTCAATAACCCCAAATAAGAACTAGCGGCCAACATTGGATTTTGTCTTTCGAAGGGAAATGCATTGACTTAGCTACAAGAGAAATACCACTATTTTGCGTAGTACTCTTATCATCTTTTTCTTGTTAAAAGAGTACCCATTTATGTCATATCCATGGCAACATTTGACATCAAAATTAGATGCACTGGCCAACCAAGTGAATCTTTCTAAACAGTATCATCATTACAACTACATTCTTGAACCACGTTAAGAATGTGCTGCTCTGCTCGTGTACCAACCACCTTTCAGGTTTTCGAGGATTTTGTTGCCTTACTAGTGCTTTATGTGCAATTATGTAAAGATGCACTTCAAGAGTATTATTAAAAACATATGTATGTACTTGTATCAACTATTCACGATCAACACCCCGAGAGTCCCTTTACTTGACCCCTTCCCTTTGTGGCGGGCAGTAGGGAGGCCAACAGATTTTGCCTATGCCTATGATAAATACAATACAAACTTCTACAGCCTCTTCCGCAACATATATTTCAACAATAGATGCCTCAGGTCGATGGAGGTTCTTTACATAACCCTTCAAAAAATTTTCATCTATCGCTCAAATGGAAACATCCACCGTCGGTGGAGGTTCTTTACATAACCCTTCAAAATTTTCATGTATCGCTCAAATGGGAACATCCATCGTAAATGTGCAAGGTCGTATAACCTTATATCTCGCACTAGATGATTGATTAGATGTACCATAATGTCAAGAACATAATGTCAAATAAGGCAGGGTAAAAGTACATCTGAGACAAGATAATTGCAGCATCATTCTCCAATTCATCCAGCACACGAGAGTAAATGACATTGCTACAAATAGACAGAGCCGGTCTTGAAAATTATTAGGCCCTAGGCCAAATATAATGCCCAAGTATTTTGTTTTTCTTTTCAAGAAATAAAATAATACATTTTAAATAATACCAACAACGATCAAACATTCTTTTTATAAAAAAAATAAAATAAAATTACAGTTTATAGAATATTACAACCTCTCAACAAAGCTAAAAGAAGAGAGTAAAATCTAGTAGAGAACTTATCATGCTTACAAAAGATAGTGACTTAACAAAGGTAACCAACATTTCTTTTGTAAAAAAAAAAAAAAAGTAGTTACATTACAATTTATAAAATAAAATAAGCACTCTGAAGAATTAGACTGCCATCATTTCTACTCTCACTGGGTTACTTTACTGGAAAAAGGAAAGCTGAATCTGAGGTTATATCCGAATATCCATCTTCAGGTGCTTAATACTATCTATGCTTGTGTATTTGTTGTAGTTTTTTTTTTT